TGTTTTCAGCCATAACTGCATGTGTGCAGACATACACCCCCCCACACACACACACACCATTTTCTTCCCAACTGGACAAGTGTGATGGATCCTTGGTCCTTTGATGGAGCCCTTTTGCTAATAATATCCTTTCTCTCTTCCTGCACAGGTCATCTCTTGCTTGACAAGACCTGTGTATGGAGCACCAGAATGCAGGAATCTGCCTTATACAGAGTTAGGACATTCACCTATCCAGCCCAGTGTAGATAGCTTTCTTCAAATCAATAGACCAGGGGGTACACTGGGAATCCCCATTATGAGCCTGCCCCAAATTTTATGCTCCCAAGGCCCCTACAAGTTCCCACACACTTCTCAGAACGCCATTATGTCCCTCCGAATCCAAGATACCGCTTAGATCCCAATTCCCCCGGAAGCAGTTCTGTGTATGAGTGGCCATTTGGTGTTTAACCTGCTGGGCTGCTTTGGGGGCAAAGTGGCCTTTCAAAGTGCTTGGCTCAGTGGCCAACAAAACGATAAATTGTGGGGCAGACTGCAATTGTAGATAAGCATCCATGTTTCTTTTGGGGAAGAGTGTGACTCCTTTACCTGCTTGATCTACTTCATGCGAGTGATTTTTGTACCAACCACTGAAGACTTCCAATGCATTTGAAAACCTGCACTTTCTTGAAAAACTTGCATTGGTCCTTGTAAAGGCCTTGCCCAGCTGTGCATCTTTTCCCCTCATGCAACAGCATGGCCAATTTTGTTTGCGCTATAGAAAATATGCTACCAAAGAGATGCTCATATTTCTCTTCTCTTCCCCTTGTCTCCATTTTGCTTTTACATCATACCTCTTTAAAGCAATAATATACAATAAAAGGCAGCTTGAATGCTCTTTGGGAAAAAGCAAGCAACGCATAGAGGTAGTACATGTTTAAAAGCACCACCATTCCGCTTATTTCTTTTTATTTTGACACTTGTGAAGTTTTAGGTTCAGATTACTGTACTTAATTTGTTGTTGTTAGTTGCAAAGTCACATAGGAAACACAAATAGGATCTGGATGTAGCACCCAGTAACCCACACTAGAGGGCACAAGGAGCTTATCCCTAGATTGTATGCTGAGGTGCATAGTTGTGTGAGGGTGGATCATTTCATATGCTAAGGTAGAATTGAGCTTGCTTCGTGGGTTTGCTGTTCCCTGGTGCAGAATTTAAATGATATTCTAGTTTCTAAAACTAGCTTATGATCTTCAGTCAAGGTGATGATAGTCCATTTCTGACCCTCTTTATTATGCATTCATTTGCAAAAACTGTAGTGTGGGAATTGAGAAAACAGCTGCACTTCAAAAATTACTCAGTGCACAGCAGCATATAGGCAGAGATGTATGCACCCGCTTTTCCCCCTCAGAAATACAGGGCATAACAGAGAGGCACTTATAATTCACGTACTGTCATTCCTGTCTGTGAAAAACATGAGGAAACATTTTTGGTGATGGATACACAAAAAGGGCAAGTAATGTGTTCTGTATGTCATTTCCATTGCAGTGAATTTATGGTAGAAGAAGTAAATGAGGGACTTCCAGCTTCATTTCTTTAGCCACTAGACCACACCAGTGCTGCATAAAAATACACAGGCACAGGAAAAGGTTTTGGTAGGCTGCTTGGCACCTAGTATGTTAGGACCATTCCCGATTCTGCCAGCGTTGCAGGGAAGGCTGGGCACTCCTGCATCACTGGGGCTCCTTATCCATTGCAGGTTTTATTCTGAGCATTATGGGAGCTATCCATGCTTCTCCATGGTGTTAAACCTGTCTTGAGGATTGGGTTCAGCATTATCTATAGCTCAGTTCAGAACTGCATCTTCACAGTGTCATCCAGCTGAGCTTTTCTGAGTGGTTCATGGCCTTTTACAACTTGGGCTTGTAGGAGAGACTATAGAATCCTTGATAGCTTGCTGTGAAGAGCTTGCTGGACACTTTGAAGATAAAATACCTCAGATTCATCATGAGTTGGAATAGAAGCATCCAAAGCACCATCTGGTCATTTTCTTTGATGAGTTTCAGTTATTGAGACCTGAGGATTCACACCTTGGTCCATGAAGCCAGGAACACCTCATTGAGAGAGGGAGTGGTGCCATGTTCTTTAAAAGAGGCTGTGATTAAGCCACTCCTAAAAAAGCCAAACCTGGACCCTGTGGATGTGAATAATTACAGACCTGTTGCAAATATGCCATTCCTCAGCAAGGTGTTCAAGTAGGTGGTAGTCAGACAGCTCCAAGCACTCTTGGATGAAATTGAATATCTAGATCCATTTCAGTTGAGTTCCAGACCTAGTTTTGGAGCTGATACTGCCTTGCTCACCCTGTGGGATGATTTTTGCCAGGACGAAACGGGGGCATTGCATCCCTGTTGATTCTCCTGGACCTCTCAGTGGCAATCAAAATCATCAACCATGGTGCCCTTCTGGATAGGTTGGCCGGTTTGGGAGTTGGAGGCATTACATTGTTCTAACTTTTAAAGCCCTAAATGGTTTTGGGCCAGGCTATCTGAAGGAAATGCCTTATCCCATAGTTTCTACCTAGCCTTTAAGATCATCTGTTGAGGTTCTTCTTAGGGAACCCCCTGCTAAAGAAGGGGCTGGCAGCTAAGAGAAGGACCTTCTTAGTAGGGGCATCCCATCTTTGGAACATGCTCCCCAGACAGATGTACATGACACCATTCCTGACATCTTTCAGCACCAGGTGAACCCCTTTTTTTCTAAATATTGTAATAGTGAATACCATGTGTCTTATTGCTGAACCAGTCTGAAAATTGTTTATAAATTGCTGCTGCCTGGTTGCTTGTCCTTTGTTGGTTGTTATATGGTTGTTTTATATGCATGTTAGGTGTATACTGTTTGTACTGTTTTTACACTTATTTGAAGAATTGTTTTTATGGTTTTGATATTTGCAAACTGCCCAGAGCACCCTGTGGGCTATGGGGTGGTATGAAAATGTAATATATTTATATAAATATAAATGTAATAAAGTGGTGATCATCTACTGCCTTGCGGTGGGTTACATATTGCCCATGGCTGAATGCAGCCCCTACCGCTGCTCCCATGCTGCTGAATTCTGTGATGGCAGTGTTGAGTAGGGGGGGAAGCCATTGTTAGTGAGCATTACAATGGTCAAATTGGCCTCAAGCTAAATTCCATCATTTCAGCACTCCATTAAATGTTTCTCTTGGTGTATGCAGGGCTGTACACATAGTGTGGCCCATCCCAGAGCAAAAATGATACCTGGACCCCTCAAAGTTGCATACCCCTCTCCTATGTACATCCTTCTTCTGGAAAGATTCTTCCTTCCCACTGATTTCCTACATTGTCTTAGACATGGAACAGTCTGCAGGATCAAAGCATCAGAGAAGGCAGGGGGTGGGGGCTTGATTCAACACTACCTTTTTAGGTGAGACTGGTGCTCAGTGGGTAGAGCATAGGGGCACAATTCAATACCTTCAGTGAAAGGGATAGGGAAAGTTGACAGGAAAGACATCTGTGCGACATCCTGGAGAGTAAACAAGACTCTGGTGGGCATAAAATTAACCTGAGCTGGAATAAAAGCAGACTCCTATGAATGAACACCAGTGTGGTGTAGTGGTTAGATTGTTGGACTAGGTCTTGGGAGATCCAGATTCTCGTCCTCACTCAGCCATGGGGTTCACTGGGTGACTTAAGGACAGTCACTGACTCTTAGTCTAAACAACATTACAAAAGGTGTTGTAAAGATAAAATGGAGGAAAAGAAAAAGATTGTGTAAGCTGCTCTGCGTTCCTTGACAGAGGGAAATACATTAATATTTCATTGGTGATGATGGTGATAAAATGCAGTTTCTTTGATTTTACTGATGCATTTTACTGATGGGATTGTAGGGCTTAGATGTCAAGGTAGGAGATGTTTCAAGAGGCCATCTTTGTTCATTGGTTTTTGAATTATCCACCCCAAACCCCTTCTACACACACACACACCATCCTGCATACCATTTAGATTCTTGTGGCCAAAGTGAGAGACCAGGTATGCCCCAGCTCAAGTCAAAGTCCTGTCTCATCTTAAAGTAGAACATATTATGAGACTAGAATTCAATAAGCTTGTTTTAAAGATGACCTCTACTGAATCAAGTAACACCCCCCGAAAGAATCTAAATATTTTTCACAGCAATCTCAGTGCTTCAATGGATTAAAAACAAATACTGTTCCTCTGAAGAAGTACAAGATAAAGGGATCCTAGAGTTTCACACTTATCTCATGGTTAACAAGGTATGGTCACACTCTATTTTATTAGCAATAATTTCATTATTTCATTGTCCTAGTTGCTGTGCAAAAAACCCAAACAAACCTTCACCTCTTTTTTAAGAACCTGCATCTTCTTGCTAAGTGAGATAAAAGGACCATGTTTCTTCTGTAAGGATGCTTGCCATCTGCAGGTTATTTTAAGTACTTGCATTAAAAACATTTTAAAAATACAGCCAATTATTGTCCATTAAAAGTTGTTTTAATGTATTACTATAACAAATTAATTGATTTAGAAATGTTCAAGCTCTATGTAATGAAATGGCATATAATAATGTACTCTGGTATAAGAAGAGAAATGCATATAGTCAATTCACCCAACTCCTCTTTAATACCAACACCTTAGTACTGGTTGACACATTAACTATCCACTTGGCAAGCTGGTTTCCCTTTGTGTAATGAACAGTAATGCCCTTTTATGTGGAATCCCCCAATCTTTCCCAACATGGTACCCTCCAGATGTGGTTAAGTGCTTGGGAGTTGTACATATCTGGAGGGCTGCAGATTAAGGAAGGCTGTTTCTAGTGGTGTCAGTCATAGGTTTGGAAACCTTCCATGTCATCAGGAGGAAGTGGTTTACCTCAATGGTCAGGTACAAAGTTTAGACTGGACCTAGTAAGATCCTCCTGCAGAACTTGAACAGTGATTTAGTCTCACACAAGGCACTTCCGGAAACAAACAAGATGCATGAAAACATGAAGATATAAAAGCCATTTAATTCCAAAAAATGTGGTGATGTCAAATCACATACACAAGCAAATATTGAGCTACACGCACAGATCAAACAACCCTATGAAGAGACACCAAAGTACCTGAAAAGATACTAATAAAAAGGAGTCCTTAAGTATTTTATTTCAGTTTCCCTATATGTCTCCTTGCTGAATGAGGCCTCTGCCTACTTTAGCATAAAGCGTGCCAGATGAAGAGTCTTAAGTACAGCATCTAATGTCTCAGGACTCCAATATCTTATTCTTCTAAACAAAAGGAAAGCCTAGCCTAGAATTTTCAGTATGACACTGACGAAAATGTCTTTTGCTTGAGCAGTACAAAATTGCCCAAGAAGCAGTCAGCCATAGCTTGTATGTTTTGTGCTTTGTTCAGCCATCTTGATTTTCATCACCTTCAGATTCAGATTCTAGGAGGTAAAAGAAAGGGGTGGGGGGAGGTAAAGCTTTTTTCCAGCTAATGCCAGATCAAATGGCAGCAATTACATGATTTTTTGTGCCTATAATGTATAGACTTCATTGCCACAACATGTATGATGGCATCTCACAAAATTTATTTAAGAGCTGCCTACCTTGCCTTTCAATAAAAGACCCAGGGTGGTTTACGGGTTTAAATATGCAATAAAACAGATGTAAAATGCATATATGTATACTAATTGCAGTAAAATCACAAGGAGAAGCATGAAAAAACAAGAAAATTATGATCAAGATTCAGTGTGGCCTGAAGGCTAGAATGATGGACAGGGAGTTGAAAGGTCTTTTTCAAGTCCCCACTCAGTTTTCTGCAGCATCAGTTACTGGACTTTGACATATTATATTCCGCAAAGTTTTAGGATTCATCAGGTTTGGTAAAAGTTATGTATATTTTGGCAGACATAAAAAAGGAGAGAAGTACCCAGAACCTTGAACAGCTGAGAAGAAAATTCTATATCCTTCTCAGTTTTACACTACCGTAGACACTGAAGGCCTGAACTGAACAAGGCACCCCACACTTACTCTAGAGTAAATTTTTTTAAAAAAAGATACATATTTCAAGTTACCTCTCTTTGGATTCAGAGTAAAACAAACAATGAGCTTGGATTTTGCAGGAGACCTAAGTGAGAATAATGACAACCTGCCAATCACACCTGCAGCTAATATAGTGTTTAGGACATTATAGTGCTGGAAATTCTTCAATAGGTTAGTCTTCAATGAGAGCTGCTTCAAAAATACTTCTCTATGGGAAGTCATGAAATGAAGGGTGTGGGAGAGGAATGGGTAGAAACCAATTTCCAGATCTAGAAAAGTGAGTATACTAACTCATCATGGAATGTATAGTACAACTCTAGCCTTTAGAAGTGCTATTTTTTCATGGCTTTGGACATCAGAAGAGAAGCCTCCTCAGTCCAAATAATCGACTACACTTGATCTTAACCAGAAGACCCTAAAGCCAAGCATTCAAATAAACCATTACCTTCTTCGGCGTTCTGTAGCCACTCAACAAACTTCTTCATCTGGTCAAGAAACACACTTTTGCCTTTTGCAAGATGTGCTTCTTTGTACCATTTAAGGATGGCTTCTTCACTTAGGACATCGGCTGTAATTCAAACAAGGGAGGAAAAAATCAGCATGTGTTTCTGGACAAAGAACAAAACCAAAGGAAGTGCTGCAAAGAGGCATGCAAAACTTAACTCTATTACAGGATAACACTCAAAATAATTCCGTAATATGTTACAGAGAATTGATTCCTTTATTATTGCTAAAAGAAAATTCAATCGAAAGCATGCCTGTCATTGGAATTGTCATCCAGGGTAAAGAGCTGTCATCTAATGGTTCAGTTTATTCAGTATCTGACAAGGGCAAAAATGACAGTATTTGTGTATACGTTCTAAATACCTGAAGTTTTAGAACATGGCTAGTAGCAACATAAATACCAATGACTTTTTTAAATTTTTAAACACATTTTGACTGGGTGCAGCAAAGAACACCATAGGTTCAGGGCTACTTTGTACACAAACTTCCCACACAAAAGCAAGTTCCACTGAAAAATATACAGGTATATTCCATGAAAACTGACACAGGCAGACCATATGTATGTGTACTTTATTGTGTGCATGCACCAAGAAGCAGCATCCAAATATGGCATACCTGGACAAGCACATACAGATTACACGTATGTAGGTTCATCATATTTGGTGTTCCATATGTGGAATTGGCCAGCTACTCCACGGAATGGGTTCCCATGTGCTGAAGTGGCCCTAAGTCAGGTAGTAAGATCAGGTTCCATAATAAGAGAATTGGTTTCTTGAATTTTTACACTGAGGCGTCATGGTTAGAGCGTTGGGCTGGGACACATGGGAGATCTGGGTTTGAGGCCCCACTTGGCCATGAAGCTTTGGGCCAGCCACTCACTCTCAGCCTAACCTACCTCACAGGGTTGCTGCAGTGGAAAATGGAGTTATGTAAGCTGTCTACCAGAGGGGGAAAGGCAGAATGTCAATGCAATATAATAAGAACAATCTCAGTATACTTATTTTAGGCTTATAGTTTTATTTTGTTTTATGCTGTGTTATAAATCACATTCATGGGGATTTTTAGTTTTTGGTGTTGGTTTGTTTAAACTGACATTAACACTAATCCTTTTTGCTAAATGTATATTTAGCCATTTATGATCAAAGAAGATTAAAATTATTGGGAGTAGAAAGCACCACACCAAAAAAGCTATTGTTATCCTGAATCTTGCAATATGCTAATGCAATGTCTAGGAACTGAACCTATTAATGGTATGTAACAAAGAACAGATCCGTGTTTGCTTATTTTTTTAAATAAACCCTAAACTACAACCAAAAATACTACATTTAAAATCAAAACAATAGAAAATTAAACATACAATTAAAATAATTATAAAAATATGGTTCTCCCAACCACCAGGACCAATAATACATGTTACAAATAAAACAAAATTCCTCAAGCAGTTCAGGAAAATTCCCCCCTTCCAAAACTGTAGTGATTCTTCTCATGGCTGAAATCCTTTCCTCTCTTTAAAGTCATATTCAATAAATACATCCAATAAATAAATCAATAAATGCAAATATCATCAAACTTGTTTTTCTTTAAATGCACTTTTCTTGCTTTAATATCACTTAATTTGTCATTAATAGCTATATTTCAAACTTCTCTATACTGATCAGACAGTAATTATGTTTTACTTTCCAATTCTTAGCTATAATTAATCTTACTCTTAAATTTATTCTTTATTTTGTGAATTCTGTTTTTTTTAAAATCAAATACTGAAAGCAATGCAATTTTAGGGCATATAGCTATAGTTAGACTTAGTATTTTATTACACTCTTTAAAAGCCTCTTTTCAAAATTTTATTTATATTCACATTCACACCACATATGGAAATATGTACCCACTTCATGACCATATCTTAAACATTAATTGAAGTATTTGTTATTGATACGATTCAACTTCACTGAAATTAGGTACCACTTCCACACAATTTTGTAGAAATTTTCCTTTATTCTTACTGACATAGATTTTAATATCCTCTTCATCCAAATATTTTCCCTATCTTCATTATTAATATTCTTTCTCACATCTGTTTCCCATCCACTTTTGCTTCATAAAAACCATTTTATCCACATTTTCCTGGCTTGACTGAAAAGCAGCTTAGCTAACACACGTGTGTTGCAACTGAGACATGGTAATTAATTGTAAGAGAAATGTTGACAGGTATTATGTTAAGGGATCTATTCCGATCACTTAACACTTAATTTATGTACTTGAAGTCCTATTGATTGCAGAGCCATGCTGGCACATGTTTAAAGTCATTTGAATCTTAAGTCTGAGTGCTGCCTAGGAATGGAGACTTTTGATACAGCATTCTGGGGAAAACAAGAGAATGGGAGGAAGGAAAGACTTACCACAGGAGAAGAGGAGAAGAACTGTCTGTATTATATACAACTAGGGATGGATGAAGAATTTGTTCAGTCCAAATGCTTATACAAACTTACTCAGCTTGCAATTCCTGAAGCTATATATGCTCTAGAACACATTTATTGGGATGTTGCAATGCAGTTTGTAACTTAAAAACACAAACATTAAAGAATGGCACAACCGACAGTGCATATATTAGGGGAAGTACATGCACAAAAATGCATACATTGAGGTATAACTGCAAAGAGTACACCCAACTAAAGTGCATAAAGAATTTGTGCAAAAATGCATACAAATATTTGTGTGACAAACTCATACTTGGAAAAGTGCATAACTGAACAAAACTGTAATTGCCAGATTTGGACATCTATTTTAGACCTGTCCAGTCAAAGCACCTCACAGATTCAATGATACTTATGAAAAAACAAAACCACTTGTGTCAAAGATGATGAATAATTTACTGAATACAATGATGAAATATGGGTGCAGAATATAGACAAGAAAAGACATTTCCTTTGTCTGTAGCCATCTTGGTTCCCGGATGAGGCCATGGGATGCTCTGCAGGCCTCAAAGTTGCCTGGACAAGCAAGCCATGTGCCAATTCTCCTCAGCAAGGTGAGAACAAAAGACAATGCCTCTTGCCATGGATTTGATATTGTTCTTTTCTCTCTCTATTTCAGAAGCTGACAGTACACACAGGCTGTAACTCCCACTTCTTGAGAGATAGGAAAGTGATGAAGCTGCTTCAGTAAAGGAAACAGTTTCAGCTCCCACACTCCTATCTGAGAACTACTGTTGGGGAAAGCACCTTATCTAAGGAATATGTTTGGGGAAATTGTGCCCTTCCTGATAAGTTGAAGGCCATAAGGCCTTGGAACAAAACCACAGCACTTTCACTACACTGTGCTTACGAATACACTACAAGGAGATCTTCAATTGGTCAGGAATGAGAACAAAAGAAAAGTGAAACAAGGATTATTGGTAATATTCATGCCTTCTCTTGCCAAGAGAAAGATGCTCAATTAATCAAACATGCAGGACAGGACACAGAGAATCACAGCCCCAGGTTGCTTTTTGAAGTACAAGAAAAACTGGGGATAATTTATATTTAGCCACTTATGATTCAGGATGATTAAGTTGACATCTTAAGTGCTGCTGCAATTTTAGCTCAACTTTTGTGGGACGTGTGTTTCTCATTGCAACCCCGAGTGATGTCATTCTGTGCTATGCCCTGAAGGGATGCATGAAGGAACTCCCAGTGGCTGTAACTGATCCCAGCCACCCACCACCTCAGTGCTGAGGGATCATTGCAGGCATGCCAGAAAACACACATGCACACAGGCGGGAAAGACTGTACACGACTGGTGGATGGTTTCTGATTTAGGATCCTGGGATGCAATTCATTAAGAATTGACTCTCAGTACAATAGGGTATGTGTCTACTCAGATGGAAATGCTGTTGTCTTCAGTGGCACTTACTCTTAGGAAAATAAGAATCACATTATATTACACTATTATCATTATGTCTGGTGGCCTAAAATCCTGTATTTTAGGCCACCAGGTTTTACCCATTTAAACATTTCATGCATCGCAACTTCCAGTGCAGGGTAATGTGAGGAACCTCTCACTTTCTATATTAAGGGATAGCAAAATCTGTCAGCAGCAGTTTCACTCAGTTTCTTACCTCCCCAAGTAAGTTTGTTTGTTGTCCAAACGTCTTATGCATTTTTGCATACACTTCTTCTAGTGATGTGTTGTGCATGTTTTTTTTCCTACAATTTTTTGTAAGACATTTAACCCTCAAAATTGCACATGCTCTAATAATTCAGTTCTGAGCTAAATCATTCTTTAAATAATTTCCCCTTACTGGATGGAATAGAGTACTAACCTCTCAATAGTGACAAGCAGAGAGAACATACAGTATAGAAAAAGTATAGTATCCAGTATGATTTTCAATAATACCTAAACCACAACTACTTAAGATAATATTCACACTGAAAGTGACATTCACAATATCCAGTGCAAGGTTAAAGCCTGTTTATTCTGGTCAAGGTTCTTATGCTAATGCTTATTATAGGCCTGCCACTTAGGCTCACACATTTGCCTTTTGCCCTCTCCATCACCTCCTAGTGCCAAGAATCAGCTCTGGCCTGTTTAAACCAGCGATCCTTGTTATATCTGAAATAGGAAAGCCTGGTTTAACACTGGTTTAGTATCCAGTTTATGCTACAGCTTGAATTAACAGTGGTTATCTAACAAGAAGTTCCTCTTTTTGGATAAAGTGTAGAAATCTGATTAAACAGAGCAGATTGAAATGCCAAAACAGACAGAAGAAATGGGTGAAGTCGCTGTGCATAGTCATGATGCTTGTTTTTGTTTACATCCAAAGCAGCTCTTTATTTGTCCTAGCTGAAGTCTTTCCCACCTCCACTTCAAAGATGTTAGAATGCTTGTTTTTAAATTATGCCAACAGAGGACAATAGAATTACTGACTTTTATTGGGCAGGCCCAAATCCTTGTCTACTGTGCTCATTATGACACTACAATCCATACAGATAAAGCCCATTATGAAACCTTTCTGCAGAAGCTGCTTTCCTCCTTCAACTATTTATAGCAACGATGTCATATGACACCCGGCAAAAGACAGGGTCTTAGTTTCTATGACAACCCAATCCTAAACTGGCTATGAACCCAATCCTTATATAAAATGAAAATCAGCAGGTGGAGGAAACTCAATAGTTTATCCAAACCTTGACTGTCTTTTTGTATCTTTCTGAACAATGAATGAAAAGTTATGCCAGATTTCTAAAGGAAACTTCTGCACTTGCCTGTTTCCAGTCTATTCAATATTTTTTGGATCTGTGTTTAGCTTTCAAGTTGTTTAAGCTGAGATTTCACCCAAGTTGTGCTCAGCAGCCACTGAAAATACAGACGCCTCAAGGCACTGAGGACAACTCTCCAAAGACAACTCTCTTTTGCTTTTGTAGACCAAGAAGCAACTTATGGAAGGCCTGGCTTGGCAGCCTTTTGTATGACCAGAGCAAGACGATCATGTGGGAAGTTTGGGACATAACTGCTCACTGAACCATCTCAAATAAAATAATAGAGCAGACCAAATGCTTATCCTCTTCAGCACTCCCTTTCCCACCATGGTAAATATGAAGCCTCTGGGAAGCCCACAGGTGGGACCTGAAAACAACCCACTCCTAGTTTTGGTCCTCACCAACATGCTCAGAAACATGCTTCTTCCTGGAGGTAGCATATTAAGACTAGTAGCCACTGACTGACTCCTGGAATAAATGTAGCCTAAACTGCCCAGACAGCTTCAGCTGTGGGACAGTATAGAAATGAGATGATGATGATGATGATGATGATTTTGTATGAATAAGTAGCTTGAACATCACACCTATAATTTGAGGTTTGGGGAAGTGTTCTAAGATTATGTGCTTCAAATGTAATGTCCCAACAGAGTCAGTCTTGCTTCTGTAAAGGAATAGGAGTTTATCCACTAAATATTATCCACAGTAGGGGTGCAACATTGTCTCAAGGGCCATAGGATTATCTTGAACCCCAGCTCTTAGATCTTATGACCTCAGAGTTGGGACACAGAAGGTCAAGCCCAAAGCCCACCCTTAGGGTCAGCATGGAATGAATTATGTTGGTTGCAACTGAGCCTCAGAGAGGAGAAAAAGCGGGATGGAAAGGGGAGGAGTCCAGGGCCAACAACTTATGCCAATTCCTATTGGCCCTTCAGCTGCTTTCCCTCATGATTCCTGGTGCTTAATCTAGACAGCTGAAAAAGGCCCTTTATAGAAAATACACATCAGAGGTCACAGTCATCACTACCATACCACACTCCTTGCACTGAATGCACAAAAGCCTCCAAGTTCAAAGACTGATATGCACCTAAGGCAGAAAGCATTTGATTGTGTTTTACGTGGAAAAGACACAAGAAAGCTAAATCCCTCCCTCCCCTTCTGTGCAATTTGTCTCTTCCAGTATTTTACAAAAGTGTCTGCCTAATGGATCATTTAAAATCTGTTTGACTCTGCTAAGATCCTTTTACAGGATTCATTCTCTGTTATGGGTATCTAAGTAATATTTAGTATCTGTCAGTATTATAACTATATGATACCACAAATAAAGACCATTGCCAAAAAGTTAGCTTCCACTGCATTATGTATCTTCTGCTACCTGGAACATTCCCATTTTACATAAGAATCCTGCCAACCTCATTGACTGAACATAGGCAGAATGACTGTGTCAGCTTCTTAGATAAATCTTATTTTAAAAACTCTTGCCAGACTTGCATAATAATAGAATATCAGAATTATGTAATAAAGAGAAAAAGCTAGAAAGGAGATGCAAAGTATGCTTCTTGGGCAAATAAACCTCGGATTTCATGGAATGGAGAAGACAAAATTTGAAAGATGACGACGCATGGAAGAATAACGAGATTTCTTCCACTTGTGATATGACAATTCCAGTGTACAGGTACCAGGGTTAGAGATAAAATTCTTGTCCACAAAAAGTGTTATACAGTAAATCGAAGCAGAATTGGAGTCCTCTTAAATCTGGATAAAGATTTAAAGCACAGCAACTCTGGAGATCCACCACTGCCCAGCTGCATCTTGTCCATATTCATTGAGTAGACTATGGGAAGGGCTAGTATCACAGATGGAGAAATGCATCAGCCTACAGCAAACAACTCGCTCCTACCACATTTAGTTTATAAGCCCAGAAGAGGAGTGAGGCACAAGCCACATCATTTGGCGTGTACTACAGTAAACTTATACAAACTAATGTACTTCTGATATATTCACTTGATTTCTTCTTTTGCTTCAGTTCTAAAATTGTATTCAAGTTGCATAACACTTCAATTTAATGGAAACATAAAACAAGTATACAAAACAAAAAGAAAAGCGACCATCTAGGTACGGACAGATACCTTTATAAAAGAGCACCACAATCTTCTGAAAGGCTTTCATAAAATGGATGTTATCGTAACAGTACTCCTGGACCTTCTGGAGAAGGATCAGCTCTGACTGGCCTTGGGTGCTAAACACAGCCAGTAATGGTGCATATTGCTAAATCAATCAGAGGAGAAATTAATTAGTCATTCACAGACTAATCCTGAAGAGTCCATTATGTCCCATTGCAAAAGAAAAAAGAAAAAAAAAGGTAACTTGGGGATACAGAAATATGAAACAGTGTTGTCTGTAATATTTTCAAAAGGTGCTTGTGGGATCTTTTGAACTTTTATGAGGTAAGATTCAGAATCTGCCTCTTGTTAGGTGAAATGTTCCATTCACAGAAAGGCCCTCCAGAGAATTTTTGGAGACTCCCTTCTCTGACAACCTTCTCTGCTCAACCTATTCAGCAGGGTCTGCTGACTCTGGGTAGCATTTTTTGGGGTTGGCATAGGAAAGAGGGTGCAAGATAATCAATCCATTTCCACCAGCTCAGTTTATCCACTTAAACCTGGATCCAGCCCATTAGATTTGATGTCTGGTTGTATTTAAGTCTCCCAAAGTGTGCCTAAGCCCTGGAAGGGCAGGATATTCATTTTCTTATAAGTAACATTATTTATTCACTCTGGGTGAATTGTAGGGCTCATGTCTGCATTTGTAAAGTTTATTTATTACAACTTAATGGTTGTATCATCCTCAAATCATATCCAAAACCTGGAGTCAATGGACTTGGAAGCTCTTGGTGCTTTGGCACTGTTGAGAAAGTTTGAGTAGCCCTATCTGAAGAAATGGGACAAACCATTATGACTGGAAATCCATGCTGGCCCTCTTGGGAAGCACATCTCATGATGTTTTGACAGCTGTGTGAGCATATGTGCACAAAGAGCAGCATATTTATTTGTAAGCCGCCCCGAGGCTTCAGCGAATGGGGCGGCCTAGAAATTTTCTAAATAAAAAAAAAGGGAACCTTTGGGTCTAGGCCTATGATCTTATTGTACAAGTATTCCCATTTGCACACCTTCAGATGTTTAAGTGCTTGTTCTGCAACAAGCTCTTCCTTCTTGTTCCATTCAACAGCATTCATTATACAAGTCCACAGGAGTCCAATCACAGCTGGCTCTGGCAGATCATTTCTCTTCATTTCTTCTTTTACATACAGCACCATCTGCAGTGAGAGACAGAGAAAAATATTACCTTAAAGCCATAATCTTAAAACAACATCTTCCACTTGCTGCAAATGTCTGCCAATAATTATATTTTTGCACTGTGTTAATTCAACAGTTGGTTGAATATAGCAGAAATGGAAAGCTGAGAAGATTTTTTAAAGCATGTCATTAATTATGACCTTTTGATTTGGTCTGAATCCTTATGCATATTGAGAGGGCATTCAGACTAGAGTGGCTATTTAGCAACATATTCTTAAATCAAAATGATTACCTTGCACTTAGGGATAAGTAAACAAGCCATATTTGTGTCTGCCCCTGATTCTCTGATCACATTTGTTTGCAATCACTGTTTGTTTTGTGTGAACAGGAAAACCGTGCAAAATATTTTCATTGTTTCCTCGATTAACTACAGTGTAAAAATGGTATTTTTTATATTCTGCACATCAAACAAAAACACATCTTAGAGAAGTTACAAGCAGTTTGAGGGAAGATATTTTCCTGTTCATGTCTGGGGCTGTGAACATTGCTCTTCACCCTTCCTTGCATTTTAACTGTTCCGCGGTAAATGAGGATTCATACTATAGCAACATACTATTTGTACAGACATGTACACTTGGCAGCCACTAGAGGGCAACCATCACAAGAGACACACAAACCTATTCTTTAGCAAAAAAATCAGGCCCTTCGACTGATTTCTGTGCACTATCATAAGACAAATATTACTGGTATTCTAATGCTACTGTAATGCTCTCTTAGCAGTGTTACCAGTTGAGGCTGTACATGGTAGCCTGTTCTCCAAAAATCAAGCATCTAAAACCAAAGCCTGCAATGCGTTTACAGCATTCTGAATATTATTCAAAAGGTGTTCAAGTCCAACTATCTTGCGTGGTTACTGCCTTGCCACCACAGCCCATTCAGACTCTGGGGTCATTAATAAACTACGTCTCAATGGAAAGTGTTGCAAAGTTGCACTGAGAAAGTACCAACATAAATTTGATGTCATATTTGTGCATTTGCGTCAGTGTAATCATTTTGTATATAATTTCTTAGCACTAATATTAGGTACATTTCCTTGTTTCAACAAAAATTATATGGCACAGGGTAAGGAAGACAGAAAGACAGCAACTAGAGTTGTTGGTCCTGGTGGAGGTAGCACTGGTATTAATGTATTGTTTAATTGTGTTAATCAATAATGTTTAGTTATAATTATTAATTATATTGTTTTTCTTAGTTTAAAAATAATTAGTTAAAAAAATTAAAAAGGAAGATGGGAAGACAGGGCTGAGCAGACCTGGAGTCCATAACCGCCATGACTTCCAAGGCACGGCTATACATTTTGCAGTCCACTTATTTATTTAAATTATTTCTAAGCTGCCCTGCAGAGTCAACGTCCTCTATTTGCTGCAGCCAAGAGTGCTGGAAAATTTGCTCTGTGAAAAACTCCATATTCATTCCTAAAATTGCCTCCGATATATCCAGTGTTTGCATTGTTAAGTTTCAAGTGCACAAACGTGTATTTAAAGAAATTAAAATCAAGGTCACAGCAGTTAACTGCAGTTTCTTATAAAATAGTATTTTTCATACACAGTGTCGATATTCCATTATTAAGAGCTATGTTGTACATCTTTTCCTATAATCAGTATTCATCCAAGCCTTTTTTCTGGTCTGAATAAAAGAAAAACTCCGCTTTTCTCCACCTCTTTGATTGGGCATTCCTGAGAAAGACGCTCCTGGAGTTCTTTTTGTAGCTCTTTCCGAGTCCCCAGTGACTGCTGGACTCGGAGGAAATCTGAGAGCTCTTTTAGGCCAGCATCAGTGAAATACTTGGCAAAGTGCTCCACATTCTGACGGTTGGCTGGAAACAATTCCTGGAAAAAAGCAAGTCACTTGTTCAATAATTTAAAATAAATGATCAATGACATACATAATTTGGGGCAGGAGGTGATGCAAAACCGGATTGCAGAACCTTCCTCTTCACCATTCACAAAGGAGGAGGAGGAGTTGCCGCATAGTTAAGTAGCCAAATGCTTGAGTTGCTGCTAGCTCCAGAGAGGACATGCTGCCCTTTTAAATTTTGCCGCATGCACGAGGCATACTTCAAATGGGAAACTATGGCTCATGGCAGCACTCCATGTTGACTATGGGCCACTGGAATGATTGGTAGATTTTTCCCATCTTTGGGCAGGGAGGGACAATGCAGAACCCAGCTGCATAGAAGCAAGACAGCATTTTGTGTGGTTCTCTCTTCATCTTCAAAGAAGAGAAAAGAGGTCTTCTCATGCTTCATCTGGGAAATGCACAACCACAGACCAAGTTCATTCTTCTCTCTTCTGGGACCCAGATGATATGGAGACCTGTAAGAAAGGATGGCTGGGCACTGTCCCCACAGATCAGGAGCAGAACACATGCTTTGGGTGCTGGCAGCCAACGGAATCTCCAGATAAGGCTATAGAAGACCCTGGACAGCCACTGCTAGCCCATGGAGACAGTGCTGAGCTAGACAGACCAACGCTCTGAAGATGTTTCCCGGGTTCCGAAGGCCTGGCCACCCTGTGCCCATGGAAGCTGCATAGCAGAGAGAGTGACAGGATGGGTACCATGTCAGTGCTCAAGTGTGACATGGTATCCATGTAGAAATATAGGAAGCTGCCTCATACCTTATCTTAGGAGTGCCGTATTCCACCTATGCCTGCCCCTCATTTACGGTCATCAACAGAGGCTCTCCTACAACTTCCTCCTCCTAAGGAGGTTAAGGGGAGGTTGCAAGGAGGACGGTGTTTTCTGTGGCGGCACCCCAAGTATGGAGTGTGTTGCCATCAGAGATTTGTCAGGCACCTACTCTGCTGAGTTTTAGGTGCCTAACAAAAACATTTCTTTTCTGGTGCACTTCAGGCACCACTTCATTTTGCACCAGTTTCAATTTACTCACTTAAGTTTCATTGTTGTTGGTTATCCATATGCATTTTAACTTGTATATTTTAATTGTACTGTTTTATTGTAATGGCTGTCCAGAGAGTGTGATGCTAATGGGCAGCCTTTAAACAAAACAATAAATAAATAAATAGCAAATCAGATTCCGGGTCCATCTAGCCCATTCTTGTCCACACTGACTGGTATCAGCTCTCCATGATTTGGAAAAGGATTCTTTTCCTCACCCTACCTGGCAATGCTGAGGATTGAACCTGGAATGTTCTGCATCCCTCTCTAACGCTTTCAGCCCTTTAAATATATCCTACACTACTGTGGTGGTATCTGTGGAAAATAAATTTGACATAATTGAGAACCAACATGAATCATCTAGCCCACAAGTCAGTTAAGCCACATTAATTCAATCGGCAACGATTTGCTTCCATCAGTTTGTTGTTCTACCTTTAGGGAGTAATATTTGTTCAAGCTCCAGCATCTCCAAAGTATCTGGCAGTATTCACAATGTCAGGAAAAGGGAGACACTGGCTTTAGAGCTCATTCTACCAAGCCCTTATATTTTCACCTGTTCAAGGACTCTGGCTGCATTCCTGTGTGTCCTGACTTGCTGAGAAGCCCAAAAGCACTTCCATTCAAGAATCCTTCTAACAAATAAAATTCTGAAGCAACATTTGACTTTTTGAGCTGGATCATTCCAGAGCTACCTTAAAAGCTCCAGCTGAACCGTTCCCAATCCAGGTGAAAATTTAAGCCAAACCCAGAAAAGAAGCTGGACTTCTCCTAGTAATTTTTGCCACTTTCTTATGGCTGCAAAATTCATACCAGTCAGAAAACAATAATGGCATACAGAAAACATTTGGAAGCATAGTTATGCTTAGTGCATAGGGTGAAGCAATGCATGTGCCACATTCAGATCAAGTTCATTTATCATCATCGTCGTTGTCATCATCTCACATTTGCACAATTTTAACCCTCTCCCCCATGGGACAATGAGAAACCAATAAAGATTGGTAAAATAGTAAACCAAACTGCATTCCATTCCCCCACCCCACAAGGTCCAAATTCTACCCAAAGATAGAAGGGATGTGATGGGGCAAGGCAGGGCAGAAGGCTGGGGAAAAAGCCCCCCAACTGGGTAGAGAGAATCATTTAATCCCCCGCCAGAGCACCACACTTACACACATATAAATAGAACTACCCCAAAAGCTTCACAACATGTACTAGGCAGACCATGTAGTTGGACCCTCAAACCTTCTTGTATACAAGCCTGTCTGGTTGCTACGATTTTGCACGGAAGACTTACTCTTGGTCTCACCACCACCAAGGGATGTTTGATGGGGGTACAAAAAGTGGGGCTTGCCTGTGGCTGCTTTCAGGCACTGGAATTCCTAATTCCTGTTGAGAGAAGCTGGGTCGGTTCCCATTCAGTTGACCTTCTGCTAGTAGGCAAGTACGTTTTTATTGTTATTATCAGGTAGGCCCACGGCACATAAGCTGGTCTGCTGCTGAAGTAGGGGCTTAACTGGCTGGGTGGGCTAGAGGTTTTGCTTTCGCTTTGCGTGACGTTTGAATTATGTTTTGTGTCAATCCTGGTTTTGTTATTGTTAACCTATTTTAGGTTAGCACCATTTTTGGAGAAAAGGAAGGATACAACAAATAAATATAATACAGATAAAATTAAGCAAGGGGGTCTTTAGAGAGGATGTGCAGAAGCTGACTACAAGATCAAAGCCCTTTTCAATGGTTGTAGCATGCATGGCACCTCCACTGCTGCCTTTCTGCTGCCAGGTAAGAACTTCTTTAATTTTCCCAGCTTTTCAGTCTTAACATATTTTAGAGTGGCATCCAGCTGTTAACCCTTTCAACTTAGAGGATTACAGGCATCCAGCAGAAAGCAGAAGTAGTGTAGAAACAAGGATTGTCTCTTCACTTGCCTCACCTCCAAAACATTTGGAAGTCATTTTTGGCCATCTAAATTTCCCTCTTCATGAGCATTTCTTGGAGGATGGATATGCCATGTTCCTCCATTACCTGGAATAATTCTGCATAAAAACGCCCACACAGAGACTCCAAGATGGTCTTTAGCTTTGCAGCATAGCTGGAAAGAACTACAGCAGCTGCAAAGGTGGAGTGGGGAACCCTCCGAGATCAGAATCCTAGCTCCAACTTCAGGTGTTTGCAAGGAAGGAGCTGGGACACTGGATATTCCATGGGCCTGCAGATAATTCCAGGAGGATACAGGAGTGCACCTTTAGTGCTTTTAGACATTCTTAGCACTAACATCAATGTGCTGTTGGTTTTATGTTATTTCTGGTTTATTATGATTCAGACTTCATGTTTGCATTTTTCTTTCCATAGTTTTAAATTCTTATTATTTTAAGAAGCAGAAGGAAGGTAGGAAACAAATGCTTACTAGCAACCTCTTGTCTAAATTAGCTTTTCTTAAAGAGGAGGTAACTGAATTGGCATCTTTCTCCAGCATCCATGCTTTAAAAAGTTTGACAGCGAAAGAAGCTGCAATACCTAGAAAGGATAAAAACAAAGTGAAAAAAAGAGTACAAAGAAGCACCTTTGCAAGTCAACCACAATTAAAAGGATTTTAGAGGAAGTAAGTTGGAAGTAAAAATAGTAATCATGGGGTTGCTACAGATTAGCATTAGATTTATTTATTTATCTGCAACAGAGCTAAAGTTGTACCATTTGAAGTACGACAGAGGAGTGCCAGGGCAGGGAAGCAAGGCCAACTGCGCTTGTGTACATTGTGTGCAACTTCATATATAGGAAGTTGTCTCAAATGATTATGCTTTAGCAGCTGTACCATATGGATCTAACAGTCCTGTTCAAATTATAATGGAATTAGATTAGCATCTGCCTTAAATGCTCTACAGTTACAAAGATGCAAAAAGAACACAGAGGAGCATCTACATAATTTTGGATTTTTAGAAGTGACTAAATATATGGGTAGCCAAATGTCTTATTCCAAAATACCGCAATAAAGAGAGGATGAAAACACTGCTTTATGTGGGCAACTGAGGATCAAGGCAGCTGAGTTACCATGGTTATCATCTGCTGATAATGATTCACATGTTTTGCCATATTTTCAATCCTTTCTATATGACTATGATACTAAACACAACAAAAAGCTACAAGGAGGTCATACGGTTTTATTCTGTTTTAAAATGAGAAAAGGCTTTTTATTTATCCAGATACCACTTGGGTGCACTCCACATTCAGCTCCATACCCTAAGCACACATGCGGAAATCAGTGAGACTTATTTGCGAGTCAATTTCTTTAGGAAAACGTGGAGGAATTGGGATTCCTTTTTTTTTTTTTAATCCATCTATTTAGTATTAATATTCTCCCCCATCCTTCACTCCTGCCAAATGGATTGCATTCAAGCAAACTTTTGGTAGTAGAAGAAAATATGAAAAGATTAACAAAAGTCAACTGAGAGTGTGCGGAAGATCCTCTCTTCTGAGCATGTATGAGTGATCTGTATGTTTCCCACTACCCTTGAAATTATTAACATGGTCACTAGAATCTTCCATCCAAAAGGGCACCCATTTATACTTGGCATCTATTTTGTGCCCAGGAGACTCCCATTCTGGTCAAACCCTGATAGACAATCCCATTTTCAAAGCTCAGTCTGCTCAGTTCTGGCTCATGAGCAAAGACAGCTGCCCAAAAGGGGATGGGGAGGGAAAGGGAGAAAGCTTTTGATAGAGAGCTTTGAATTTTCCTTTCCCTAGCAACTCTGGCAGGAATGGAGAAACAGCTGTGCTAGAAACTGGGAAGGTCAACAGTAGATGTTCCTGCTCTTTGTCCTTGCGACTTGAAATGTCAAGTTTGTGGCTCCATTCCCACTTCTTATCTCTGGTACTGGTAGTTAGATGAGTTGTTTTTCTCCCTGATTTTCCTCCCATAATGGATTCCATTGATCTAAGAAGAATGTAAAGATTCTCCCTGCCCTCTCTCCCAGCTTAGGAACTCTCCTGATGGCATCATGCTCTGGTAAAGCAATTTTCACTGTGACTTATTCCATTCAAGAGGGCTCAAAGATCTCCTCGAGAGGAGTAAATTGCCTGGGGACCCTGAACAGGGACACGGGAAGAGTTTTGGGTATCCTCTCCACTATGGCCTTTGTTTGCCTCTTGTGTTTAACAAAAGGCCAAACTACACATTAAATCTATTCACATTTTTTTAAAATCTACTTACAACTTGCACAAGTTTGGCTTCTTAAAAATGCAACCATGAAGCATCTGGTTCAGAGCTAGAGTGTAGACAGATAAGTTATGGGGCACGACTCAACCAGTCCCGAGGTCCCGATCCAGATCACCACCACTCCGACCTCTGCTTTTTGACAGGAGAGTTGAGTTGCCCAGTTCAAAACTCTCTGTTTAAAAATGCAATTTCTCTAATTTGGCCCTCAAGAATGCTTCCTTGAATTCTCTATTTCATCATTTATACCCTACTGATCAGTCATATTTCCCCTCGCTTGTTCAAAAACGGTGCAAAAACAAGCATTCTTTGACTAGGCATGATTCATAATACCTAATCCCATAAGCACATAAACAAAGCTAATCAACTAATAAATCCAGTGAAATTAACAACAGCATGATTTCCACATACACAGCAGAATATACTGTTTGGCTCTTAGGCTGTTTCCAAAGACACGCCAAGGAAGATGAATGAGCTTCTCCAGGAACAGCATTCCACAGTTCCAAGGCCATGAGACAGGTGGCTTTGCTCTTGGAAGATGGTAATTTTGTCTTCCAAGTGGAGGTAAGCTACTCCCACAGGAAACACAGTGTTAAGATAAAAAATATTACCTTCTTTGACAATGTTGTCAGTGAAAAGGCTTGTTAAAATGGTAGCAGGAAGCGTCCCATTGGCTAGCAAGATTCCAGTGAGCATTGCCAGTTTTGTCTGCTCTGTTTCAGAAAAGGCTTTAAGGAATAACAGGAGCTGTGAAAAGAAGTAACTTTTTTCCTTTTGAAGTGTTTAAACATTGCCACACGTACACAAGGATGAAATTATTGTGCTTGCACCAATTCACTGATGTAACTAGCAATCCTACAGCTAAGTTTCTGAAAGGTTGGATGCTAAGTACAACTCAGGGGCATGAAAAAAGGGATTACTCATAGCTAATGTGACACATGAAGGAAAAAAACATCATTATTTTCACCAAGGAACAACAAGCAACCTCCACATAGCTAGCATTAGGGTTTCAGTGAGGGCTTGATTTCTCATTTGTGCACAGTTCACAGTGTGACCGGGGAAAAAGGGCAACTTCACTAAATTAAAGCTAAGTGCCACAAATAGTTCTGAAAGAGCAATACAAAGCAAAATGCCCACCATGAGGGTATCCAGGTGACCTATTTTCCATTTTGGGGAGAAGACCTTTCAGATTGGATATTTTGTAAATGCATGCATCATTCTTGAGTGTAACAGCTCTGAAAACTGGGATTTGTTAAACTGAATTTGAGGCAGAACAAACTGCAAGAAGAGCTTCAAGGTACAACCACTTATTTAAAAGTAGCTCTATTCTGTTCCTCAGCTAAAGAGACTCCTGGAGTGACTTACGTACAATCAGTAAAACATGACACTCCCTGCCTAGAGGCTTTCAATTTAAAAAGGCATGATACACAAGGAAAAAGGAACAGGAAGAAGAAAGAATGTCACGCAGCATTTCAGCAGGGATGGTAGAATGGCACTGTCTCTCACTGAACAGCTGGCCTGCTGGAATAGCTGCCGGCAGTGACAGCTGCAGGGATAACTCATAGATCCCTTGCAAGTAGAGCTCAGTGGGGGATAGCACGTCTTCTTAAGAAACAGAAATTAAAGGTGCGATCATCTCTTGAAGACAAGCCATTTAACTTACAGCATATTAGCTCCATTCCTCAAAGTAGGATGTTCTCTATACAACATGGACATGCATGCACAACGGGCTTAGGCAAAAGGATAACCCATGTTCAGGAGTTGACTGTGTGTTGTTGCTGAAATGTCATCTGAACCCAGCTACATGAACAACCCATGAAGAGAGGCCATGCTTTGTTGTTGGATTGTGAAATGTGGCCTGTTTACCATGGTTTGTTCTCTTGACTAGATCCAGACAACACGATAACCCGCAGTTCAGCAACAATGCGCAATTCAATGGCAATTCATGCTCGGTCCTTAATTGTGGGTTCCTGTATTGTGTGAACCCAGTCACTGATTAGAATGAGAACAGTAGAACTTGTCTAATGTACAGTAGCAATACTTGACAGAAATCAGATACTGTGCCATCCTATTTGCTTCAGAGGTACTAGCATAATGTAAACAACATTCAAGTTTATGGCATCAAACCACACTAGGCTGCCTTTTTATTTACATAAGGGATCATTTCCTTTTGTTTGAAAGGTATTTGTCCCTTATTCAACTGTTCAACATAGCTTGAATTAGCTTCCGGCGGGGGGGGGGGGGGGGGGTCCAATTCTAATTAACCCACTTAGAATCTGTCAAAAATGAACACAGTGTTCAGCTTCAAGTTGTCATTATGCCACCAGCTTGCACTACTGATTGCTTTTCAGAGCGCTTCCCTTCCTATAACCATTACAGTTTTGGTTACCAGCTCTATAGGGGAGGCCCTAGAACACTGATGTGTTTCAGAATAATGTTGACTTCCCACCCACTGAGCTTCCAATTTGTCTATTGCTAGACAATCCTGGGTATAATTACATCTATTGTACAAAGAGTGTTTGATTTGGGGAAAATCAACCTGTCTAATTTTATTTCCAGTATTGCCTGGCTTTTGCAGCAGGGGTTTTAAGTAGTTGAATAGTCACAGCAGCTTGTCTAGCACTAGAGTTTCTCTAAACTAGGAAGTCTGCGTGGAAGCTCATTGTCTTGGCAATTTCGTTCACTATATGAAGCCCCAAAGCGGCTGCATGAACTCCCTTCTCCCAAACTTCAGTGTGCAACTTCTATCACATACAGATAAGGCTCTATGCCATCTATTCATTCTTTGTTTTTCTTTGAGTGGGTAAGGAATGCAGCTTGCCTAATTTTTTTATTGGATTTAGTACTGCAGAGACATTTGGGAGGAGAATGTATGTGAAGGAAAAGGAAACTTCCTTAGACTGAGTCTCTTCAGTGGACCAACTAGATCCATATTGTCTCCATTGAGGGCAAATGCACTCCAGAGTTTTCAGGAAAAAGATTTAGCCAGCCTTCCCAGGCACATTTGGCACATAAAGCTTGTGCTCTCACCTTTGGGGTACTTTCCCCAATTCAGGCATAAGAATGTATATAACTCATCCAGAATATGGCTTAAGCATTTCACTGGTTGGGTTCAGACACCATGATAATCACACTCAAGGGTTGAATATGTGTTTCTTGGCAGTTGCCCCAGTACCATGGGTTATTGTTGAAATGCAGGTTTTTGTGCTACCTGAATCCAACTGAAATAACAAACCATGTTGAGCAACTTGCAGTTTATAATTTAACAACAAGCAATAGGTTTTTGTCATGGGTTGTTTGTGTCTTATAATCCATAGCTTCTTAATGCAGCTGTGTATAACAACACAATAAACCACAGTACAATAACAACCCACATTCAATCCAGTGGGTTACTGGATTCATCTGAACCCAGTTGTAACATATACTCATGCAATGAGCTACAATGATGTCACAGGGAAAGAGAAGGAAGATATAAGCACATGGTCAAGATGACCAGTTCTTCTTGATCTAGATTATTTATTTAATGTTGGTCAGAATGAATGTCACACATGTACTGGGACCCAATTGGGAAACAGAGTTCTGCTGCACATGGGGTCCTTCCATGTATGGATCACATGATACAATGTACAGTGGGGTACAATGGATACTGCTTGCATATACCAGTCTTCTCTAACCTTGTGCTAACTAGATGTTTTGGCGCATAATGCCCAGTATACTTGGCCACTGGCCAGGGAAGTTGAAGCCCAAAAAATATGAGGGCAGCAGGCTGGAATAAATAGGTATACACCTCTCAATACAGAACTTATTATATTTTACTACTCTTTCAAATGGTAGATAAAAATATTCTGGGCGGTAACCACGTTTCACTCTGCATACACAGTCTTCAACAGATTTCAAGCCTGATGTTAAAATAAACTTGGATCTACATACACGGAACACAGTTTGTAACAACTATGCTAAACTCCATTAACCGTCAAAGATCTCTAGATTAAAAGGGCGGAGGTGGAAATCAAAAAAGGTAGCCTGAAAGAGGATAAAGTGCTTTCTGTACTTGAAACAAAATGAGTCAGTATTACTCATAACAACAGATTATTGTAATTAACAGTAAAGTTAAGCTTATGACGTTGGGGGAGCTGCATGTAACCAAGCGTGCAAAGCACTCAGCAACACTTAAAAAGATATCCTGCTAGAACATCACTCAATCAGTCTATGTACAAAGTAGCACATGGTACATCTGTTTTTTCGTTCATGGTAAGAAGAATGCCAAAGCATCAATGGCTTTAAAGCAGCTTAATGACAACTCTGACATCTTTGTAGTTCCCCTTGCAAAGAAAAAATCCTTGCACAATTTCTCATCACCTACATTTCAACAACAACCCATGGTACTGCAGCAAACTACATTAAACGTGTGTTCAACCCCTGAGTGTGGATTATCATGCTGTTTGAAGTGTGCTTGCAGCAGTGTCCAGTGGAATAAAACCATTGTGGTATAGGAACTAGAGTGTTGTTCTGAGACTCAGCAGATCTGGGTTCTAATCCCCATTTGGTCATTAAGCCCACTGATTAACTTTCAGCCAGTCACTGACTCAGTTTGCTTTTCACCACCACTGCGCATGCCAGTTTTATCTCCCAGATTACCGCTGCTAGGTGCTGGTTGTCATTATGTGCAAATTCAGCAAGGGTGCATGGTTAATGTAGACTGTGGGGTTTCGGGAGTTTGTCCATCACCTGAATCACTCCACCCCCTTTCCCAGGTTTGCACACAAGGACAAGTTGTGTCCTGCCAAAGTAATTAGGGAAACTTGGTGATACATGCACAGTATCTAAAGGGGTGGCTTATGAACTACATGTGCAAACCCAGTAATTAATTTTCAACCTGGCTACCACAGAGTTGTTGTGCAGGTTAGGTGCAGATATGCTCACCATGCTACAAAGTTTACAACTTGCCATCTAGTGTTTCTATACAACTATTGATTCTGTACATAGTAACAGGAAAAGATATGCATGTTAGAAATGTCCTACATTATTTTTAAGTATTACCTTTTTAATTTCATCTTCAAAAGCCTTTTCCAAATATTTATATCTCCTGATGAGTTTATTGAAGACCTAAATATAAGAGAAGATGTCAACATGAATAAGACAAGCAGAACCTAGCTGTTCCTATAAGTGTTTGGAAGCAGTGTTCATAACTAATCTATGATAAAACTAAACACACATGCACACACTCACACCCTTCCTACATCTGTTAAATCAGCAAGAGTAGTTTCCTTCATCAAAGCAAATGCAGCTGCCTTGCAAAAAACACAACTGCTTAAAAAACTCCACATGCCTATAAGAGCTTTCATAATAAAGGCCAATCAATAGCTCCATACTGTCCTTCAATCTACTTCTTTGTGCTATATTCAGAGTTTGTTCCTATTACAGTAACAAAAAAGGATGCATTGATTTAGCCACTAAATCAGAAGTCAGGAACACAAATCGATAATTTGAGTAAAATGCTTTCATAGTTACACAGTCCTGCTTTCTCCAGGAAATTGCTATTCTATTCCATTCTATTCGCAATAATAAAAAGATTTAATCTGTAACAAAATTCATTTTCAATAAAGCGCATGAATGGTGGCTACTAACCGAGATAATTGCTAATCCTACTGAAGCCAGTTCATAAACCATCAGAGCTAGTGGCCATGGATAGCCTTACAAGTCAATGGCCATCACTGAAGCTTGCAAAAGTAAGTTCCATTCCATTTAAAGCACTTATTATAAATGAGCACTTTTTGTCTGTCCTGAATCTCTCACCAATCAGCTTCATGGCATGCCTGCATGTTTTTCCAATTAACTTCCTCCACATCATGCATAATTGTATTATGCATCTACCACATCTGCCCTGGCTTGCCTTTTCTCTAAACTAAACAGTCCCAGATGGTTTCCTCATAAGGAAGTTGCTGCTGCCCCTTGATCATTTTAGCAGTCCTTTTCTTCCAACTCTACTATATCAATTTTAGGTGTGTTGACCAGAACTATACACACTATCACAAGTGTGATCATAACATATATTTGTGTAAGAGGAGTATGACATCAGTAGTTTTACTTTTGTCTCCATTCCTATGCCTCACATGAAATTTGCTTTTTTCACAATAGCTACACACTATGTCGATATTTTCATTGAGTTGTCTTCCATAACCCCATGGTCTCTTTTTTTGGTCAATCAGTGCTAGTTGAGTTCCCATCAGCACACATGTAAACTTGGTGGGGGGAGGCATCACTTTCTACTGGTTTAGACTGAACCACATTTGGCATTTTGATGCCCATTCTCCCAGTTTGGAGAGATCCCTTTGAAGCTATTCACAATCACATAAATAAAGTGTTGTCATAAGCAAACTTGACCATCTCACTCGTAATCGTAGGACCTACTGTGTACATCCCTTCATTGACAGAAAGTATTTATTCCTACTTTCTGTAACCAGTTCCTATTCCATAAGGGGAGATCACCTCTCATTCTATGATTGTCTTTTGTGAGGTTTGTATCCTGCTTGACACTTTGCCCTCGTCTAGAGTGACACCTCCGCTAGTATATACTTCCTGGCTCTTCCTATAGATTTTATAACCAGAGATTATTACATTTCATGCATTCTATCCACTCCAACCGGTAAGTTTTCCCTCACAACTAATAATTTAAGCTCTTCCAACTTAGCTTAGAAGCTTTATAGCATTAGCACAGAAAAACTTATACATGGTGTCCTCCCCAGACATCTGTTGTGTGTACCATCTGGTGTGGCATTTAGGCCTCTTTGACTGGCTATTCTGTCTCACCACATGCTCATGGCTGATTTCTACCCTATCTCCATTCAGGCAATCAAAAGAAAACAAACTTCTGTATCCCTGGCAGATAGTCAAACAGCACTCATGTACCCTCAGTACCACTGCTGACTTTCTATCTTTATAACTGTTTTATTGGCATTATTCAGGGGTTTTTAAAGCTGGAAAATCTAAGCTACTTACTAGAAACAAGAGAAGATTTAAAAAAGATTTATTCCTAGGAGAAACTAGGAAAGAGTTACTGCCCTGTTGCTAAACTCACACAGCTGCTTAACTCAGTTGCTTACTAAAAACCTGTTTTACCTTTATGCTTCCTCACTGGGGTTCCTTGCCCTTGGGTTCTTTCACAAGGCTGCTTTAGTTGTAGCTATTTTGCCTTAGCTGCAACTCCAGACAACAAAATTAAACGGCTTCATTAAAAAAAAAACTGAACAACTGCTCAATCACTAATAGCTGAGAGAACAGCTTGGAGAATAAAGTTGTCAATGGCTACTTGTCTGGATGGCTGTATGCTACATATACATCTGCACACACTGGTTGCTGGGGACTGTGAGCAGGGGGCGCTATTGCACTCTTATCCTCTTTGTGGGTTTCAATAAGCAGCGGTTTGGCTGTTGTGTGAACAAATGCTGGGACTAGATGGATCCTTGGTCTGATTCATCATGACTCTTTTTATGTTCTTATTAGCTTCTAGTTAGCTTATTAGCTTATCTAGCAATCTAGGCCAGATAAGCTCCCTGGGAATCAAGATGGTTTATTCAGGAGAGAGGACGCATGTTTAAGGGTCAATGGAGGGAACCATAAAGAAAGGGTAGGGTAGGTGACTGAGGAAAGGATATGGTTTGGGATCCCAGGATTATAAGGGACTGGGTTTCTGAGCTCAGGTAAAAAGACCTTTCTTTCTTGTTCTGTTTTGTTCCATTTGTTTCTTAAACCAAATGGTAAGATGAACTCTCAACTTGGGATGAGAGTTTTCTTTATTTTATGAGCTGCTGTCTAAGACTTAAAACCTGAGCTCATGCTGCGCCTACAAGCTGCCCTACATTTTTGTTTATAAACTGTGTCTTCCACCAGCCAGAACATTGGCCCTTGCAATATAAAGCTGCCTATTACTTTTATTGCTCCTCACTGGATTTATGTTTAGCTTAAGTAAGCAGTTCAATTTGTCTTTAGCCATTTAGTAAACATAAGGCTGCAAGAACTCTAAGTTACTACCAAATTTCTCCTCTGGGATTTAGCTTCCTTTCCTGTGCCCTTGTTTTGTCTTGAGCTGATGATTAATGAATTTACATGAGTTTTAAATGATTACCTGAAATAATTTAATACCTAAATAAGCAAACAGCACTTCCTTTTTCCTTGCATGGCTGCCTAACTGACTTGTGTGCTAAAAGACATTTTGTGAGCACCTCCCATTCAATGAGCAGCAAGCATTACAAAGAACCAGGCTATGCTAGTAACAAGTAAAAAAATGAAAGCTGTTATGCACCATTAATTATCAGGACCAATTACTTTCTGACCTGACCTGCGCATAATGTCGGAGGGCATCATGATCTTCATCTGCAGAAAACACACAGTGATTGGTCATTTTGCTCTTATCATTATCATCTATTCTTGTCCCTCCTGGGGCTGAAAAGAAAAGGACGAAATATTGGCAAAGGTAATGTAAACTTACAATAAATTGTAAGGGCTGCATGTCACTCAACACATTTATTTATTTATTTATTTATTTATTTATTTATTTATTTATTTATTTTTATTAAAACATTTCTATGCTGCCCCATTCGCCGAAGCCTCGGGGAGGCTCACAACATAAAATTAAAATACAAGAAATAACAATATAAAATAAGTCGCCCTGGCCAGATAAAATAAGCAAATAATATTAACAATTAAAATGACGCTTAAATAAAAAGGTCTTCGCTTGGCACCAAAAAACAAATAACGACGGCACCAGGCGGACCTCTCTGGGGAGCGCATTCCATAAAACATGGGTTTGGTTTTATTTATTGCAACTGTGCACAGCCCCAGTTTGGATTGGGATCAGCCTGTTCAGTGAAGGGAGAAGTAAAGTATCTGCTTTATTTTATCTCTTTTATCCCCTGCTCCTGCAGTTGTTAAAAAGGACAAATTATCATTTTTTCCTTTGATTTGGATCACAATCAGGCCTTTTTTTAAAAAAACTTCTCTTCCTGTAACAGTGGAATTTTGAGGAATGAGAAAACAGGGAGACATGTTAATGTTCTCCTCCCATAGTGTGCTGGTTCCCATCTAAATCAGGTCTGCATGCAGTTATACTAAATTAAACAAAACGCAAGCCTTAGCTATATGCTACATGAGAAGCCTGTCCTGTAATAGTACCTTCCAGGTTTGTTTGATCACAATGCTCAGCATTGTGTGCCAGTGTGGGCCTTGACAGTCCTGGCTGAGAATGATGGGAGTTGCAGTCCATCATATTTGGGGGATACTGAATTGGTCAAGACTGGCATAATGTGTTCTTTGACTCTGTGGTAGAAATAACAGAACCAGCTTCCATTCTTTGCGTGCATCTGCAACCTGGACACATTTTTACCAGAATACCTGCCAAGGTATTGTTTGTTTGTAAACCACCCAGAGGGCCCTTTGGGCTACTCGAATGGTATATAAATGCAAATAAATAAATAAAGGGGGAAGGTGAACCACGTAAAGCCTTCTCAAGTCTTGAGTATCACAATGCTTAGGGTGGTCCTGCCTGCTGCCTTTATCTCACTATTCCCTGACAGTGACACTGCAGAAAATGCAAAAGCCTGTAAAATACAGAATGCAAAGAATATCAGAAACCCTTCGAAGACAAAATTTCATTCATCACAGGCAATGACAATTTTGATTGTCTTGCAGAAAGGGCTGCATTCATCCTTGCCACTAATTTGGTGCTGGTGACATAACTCATTAATTGACATTTGTTTTGTAGGTCAGTGGAGTCTAGAATTTCCAGTTCAACAGTATAGAAACTCTCTGCAGCTAAGTATAGTTTCTACATTAAACACCATTCCAACCATTTTTAGTAGTCATGGATCACGAAGGTTTGTCAAACTGTTCTCAGAGGTATGAAGAAACCAATGAAACAAACCTTGCATGTGTGCCCACACAAGAAGACAGAGAAGGACAATCAAACTAAGAGGGTAAGTTGTGGAACATTAGCTGGCGGTCAAAATCAAGAGGGCATGTTATCAGGATTAGTTGTGAAAATGTGCTGTTTTCCATGTGACATACATACCCAGCATGCTGCCAGCTATCAAGATGTCAAAGAGAGTGTCGGCATAGCGACGATAATCTAGCCTTGAGCCTGTTGCATCCAAAAACTTGGCTACAGCTTCCAGATCATCACCAGCTTCATTAAGACCTTGAACAATTGTATCCCGGAAGACGGTGGGTTCAAATTTCTCCTTTTCATCTGGAACATTGAACTAAAGCTAATCATTTCATGGAATTTGCATGCCTGCTTTTATTTTCTGGTCACTATCAACATCTTTTCCACAGTTATTAAATTACCTTTATTAAATTGCTCATTCACTTTTTGTTTTAATACACTACTGTTAGTTGCTAAGTTTGTATGATAGAATACTGTACATGATACAATGTTATTCTCTTGCTGACTTTTCTTTCCAATATATCTGCTTTTAAGTGCATGTGTTTATCTCAAAAGGAAGGTGACATTTGAGGCATTTGAAAGCAGTGCTTTTAGTATGAATTTCCCACCCTTGCAAACTGTTGTTGTGTGTACAGTGTTGGTATGTTACTGTGGTTCCAACAGCCACATTAGGTAAGTTGATATCTTTCAAACTCTTGTAATGGATTAGAATGACAATTAAACATGTGAAGTACAGATTTCCTCTTCTTCATTACCTTCTGATAAAAATTACTTCCTAAAGGGTCTGTGTGGTATAGTAGTTAAAATACTATGTTCTTGCAAAAGACAAAGGAAGGATACAGAAGTACTATAACAACAACATAATGCTATAATAATAATAATAATAATAATAATAATAATAATAATAATAATATAACTATTAATTTAACCCCCCCATATGCACACAACAGTCTCGTTTGTACCTGTTTCCTTTGTTCTCCTCTGGTGATACAATGAGGAGGATATCAGAAGCATCTGCTTCCATTCTCAACTAACTTATGCTCTGTTGTTCAATTGAAAAGAGAAAATGTGGCCAGCATTAACACAGATTTTTAAAACGGGCCCAGATCATTAACCACAGGGTGAAATTGGCTTTTTCTGATAAACCATGGTTTTCTTGTATGATAACAAACACCACATGAATACTGCTTCCAGTATGGTTAACAAATATTACACTTGCCAGCATTCTTATAAGTAGTTCAGTGGATTCTAACACCTTAATCCTATTCAGTCAGCTTAAGAAGTGGTACTCAAAATATAACAGGCAAGACTATGTAATGTTGGCTGAGAATTATGGGAGTTCGACTGCCAACATTTCTACAGACTATCAAGCTGGAAAGTTTGGTAGATATGTTAATAAATGATACAATAATATTCACAAAGATAAATGATCAAACTTACCCCTCTTCCTTGTTTTGAACCGTTGGCCTGTTAGCACCGGCTTCTGATGCTTATTCATAAAATTTCTGGAATACAAGTTTAAAATGGCTGCCATGATGTACAATGTTTCTATTCAGGATAATCAACCACAAAAGTCCTAATCAGGGCAGTCAACTGCCCAACTATTAGCACTTAATGGTATCATGTTCAGTGGATGACCATACCAAATCTACACATTCCAGTCAAAGCCACCTAATTTTCATTGCACTACAAATCCTCATCAACTCCAACTTCCCACCTTTGCCAGCCGTACTACTTTCTGCTTAATTCCCACTGTATACTTAGCACTCAAAGTGCTAAGTATTTGCCATCTATTTATGTCTTCCACCCATCCCAACTATCAGGTTTCTTCCATTCTCAAGCTGAGAACATTCCACCTACAATCTTCAACTACCATCCACGGCTTTATCCAATGCACATGTTTCCAAGGTGAAATTTCTGGAACCAGGTGGCCTTGGGCCTGCACCTGCTCATCCATCTCAATCATTTCATTTTGTCAAGCCATAAAATGGGAATAATGTGGATCTATCTTGCAGGACTGTTGTAAGAATACTGATGTGAGATAAAGATTTGAACATGTACAATATACTATATCAAGGCATACTGTACATTGGTCAAAGCACAAGTGTGTACAAAACTACTAAACATCATGATTAGTTGGTTTTAGTTTAATAGGTTCACTTGCTGGAAAGACTGGGCAGCCTGATACAAAACTATGCTATTTTTAAATGAAAGAAAATTTATAATCCAGAAGTCTACGCTGGACCACAGCAGAAATTGAGATTATTCAGAGATCTATTCCTCTCAAAAGCAATGTAACAATCTAAGATATGATGATGTATATCCCTTCCACAGCAGCTTGCCACCATTTTAAATATGCAGAGAGCAGCAAGGGTATACTGTAGCCAGGGTGAACTAAAATTTATTTTAAAAAAACTCAGAATATATATATATATATATATATATATAGAGAGAGAGAGAGAGAGAGAGAGAGAGAGAGAGAGCGCGCGCGCGCGCGCGCGCGCAAGCAAGAAAGAGATTTTATTTAAATCAGATTTTTTAATTTAAATTTTTTTTACAAAAATATAATGCTTCTTCAGGAAAAATCTACATAGTTTCTGTTTAAGAAGCATTATAGTCCAAAGGTTATTTATCATGAAACAGGGATTGGTTTTTAATTATGTAGCATGAGGCTGTATATTCATGTAATGTTTAAATTTTTTCATAAATGAATTTCATTAAATCCATTCACAATGTCATGCTTTTCCAGAGTGGGTTTTTTGTAAGTTTATCGTGCAATTTTTCTATCTAGAGGGGTATTATCACATATGCTTGGTTTTACAGTTCTCAGAACTGAATTTATATCTGCAGAGAATCACATGCCTCTTCCTCACAGCAAAATTGCTATAAAATAAACATAGTTGAGAAAAAGCTGCTAATCCCATTGTTCCTTTGTAAATCTATGTACACAGAATCAACCCCTTACTTCTTAAGTGCTAAATTTCAAAAAAATCAGTGAATAGAAAATGATTGTTGGGAGTGGAATAGATCTGCACAAGCCAAGTGTGACGGAGGGGAAGCAGTCAAAATGAAAGTGAAACCTTTTGAGCAGAATTTTCCACAAGTCTTCGGATCTTTTTGTGTATAGCCTGAGGTTTATCATATTTGTTCCTTGGAGGAATAAACCTAAAATGGAGCAGGCCATAGGAAAGACTCAGCATGGGAATATTTTAATGAAGTTCCTCTACCTACAGGTAAGGCATGCATGCATACAAATTATGAAGAAAATCATGATTTAAATTTAGTCTTGTTGACTAGTGATTTAAATCAGTTTAATTTAAATCAAATCCACCCTATCTGCAGCTTCTCATTGTGCATGAACTCTGCAAGAGTTGGGTTATTGGGGTGGTTGCAAGCCATCAGCAACCCTAATAGCCCATAGGATCTGGGTGGCTTGCCAACAGCCCACCCTTGCCATGTTTGCAGGTAACAAGCTACTGTGTGCTTCTGCCACAACTTGAATATTCAAAATGGTGACCACAGCAGTAACCAGAAGCCCTATGGGAAATTCACACTGGTCTTACCTGGTTATGTGCAAACCAGGTCAGTAGCTGTCATGGAATGATTTTTTCAGTAACAATATATAGTTGTGAGTCCCTATTATAGTCCTTGTTCCAGTGCAAAGTGCTCTCGATTAGCCTGATGCTGAATGGCCAATTAGGACCCATTCAATTTACAAAAGACCTTCTTCTTTCAGAGATGAAAACAGCTTACTTTATTTATATGGCTCCACACATCTGTCCTGGGATTATGGCTATGAAGTCCACCATGAACACCTGCATTTCAGAAATTACCACTAATATTCAGTTGGTGGACCAAGAATTCAGGTAAAATAAGCAAAACGCAAAGGAGTATCTACAGTTCTACAGTATGTCTGCTCTTGTGCTGAAGCACACCTCTGTAATCTCAGGGAAGAACTTTAAAAACTTGCAGTTTTGTGAACCTTTGGCTGGCCCAGTAAAGGTATTACACCAATACAGATTCTAGAAGGTAGATGATAGTAGTAAGGAGAAAAATCTTGCATGTATTTTCTGAGAAGCTTCCATAGTTATTGCTAAGAGTTGACTTTCGTTTCCCCTGTGCAGCAACCAGTAGATACTCAGAGGTTGAGGACCCAAACCAAAAGCTAAAATTTCACAGCATGTTTGAATTCTGATATATTATTTCAGTTTTCAAAAATGCCTAGAAAGGAAGATACAGGGACAAGAACACTCCGGTAGGATTGTACTGACTGTCCATCTGTTCCATCTGGCTCCTAGTGAAATTCTACTGTCTCTTTTGAATATTATTTAATCCCCCCCACCCCAAGCAATGGTGAAACTGCTTTGAGGTAGAAAAAAAAAGAACTGATCCACATAAGGTGCAAAGCTTGCTTTAAAAACCAACACAAAACCACACCTATAACACCAGCACACCTGTACTATTAATGCAACTATTTATTTATTAACAAAGCTTGTTTTCTGAACTATCTTTACTTTCAGTTGCAGACAACATTTTCCTACCATGACTAAAGTCAGAGTTTCAAACAGTACAAAGGAAGCTAAATATAATAATTTTAGAAGCTCAGTACCATAATGATGACAGTCCCTCTCAGAACACGCACACACACACACACTCCATCCCAGTCATTGAGTAAACACTCTAGGTGCATGACACGGCAGCAACAGAGACCTAAATATATTTAAAGGTGATCACATCTTACCCTTTAAAACAAAGAAGGCTCTGTATCAAATTGAGGCAGCTAGACCAATAAAATCTGCTTGTCTTTCCACAGGATCAAAGTTTTTTGTTTGTTTTTTAACAGATGTCCAAACTTCTGTTCAGCAGCCTGGTTTCTATTAATGCACGCTTTTCATTGTAAGTGGGTGGGTGGGTAGGGGATGGGGAAGCTAAAGTGGCTGCATTTTCTTCCACCTCACATAATGCATAAGACTAAGCCCACAAAAAACACAGGAGTGACAACATTATAAAAAAAACAACAAAACCTTAATTAGAAAGCAATGGGAGGAATCCAAACTCACCACTTGTAGCAAATTTAACAAATTGAGTTTCGGTGCAAAACAAGAGTGTCACTCCAGAGGTTATTTGTACCAGAATAGGATCTGTGATCTATATTTAGCTTTAAAATGCATCACACTCTAATCTGCTTTGCCCAGGCTTTATAAGGTGGTTGCTAAAGCACTGGCCAAAGAATCTGTGCAAGAAAGAGACAGAATGAGCAAAGAACGGGACACAGAGCAGCAGTATTCTGACAAATGACAGACATTTCATGTCAGCAACTGCAACATTTTACTTAGAAATGTAAAAACCTATAGCAGAAAGTGGTGACCTTAAACTACAATCCTATGCACACTTACCTACCACTAAGTCCCACTAAACTCAATGTGGTTTACTTCTTAGTAGACATGTATAAGACTGCATGGTAAGAAAAATTAAAGAAAGTGAAACCACATTAATAGTGTCAGGCTGGAATAAGAAAGCTTTTCCCTATTTTAAAGAAAAAGTATTTCTAATTTATCCACCTAATGTTTGAAGCAAGTGCAAGTGAGTTGGAAGAAAGAACGAGAGAAAAGAGAGTTCCTCTTCAGGAATGCATGCATTTATTCTAGCCTTGTTTTTATCCTACTTTCCCAAAACAGGAACTGTTCAAAGTAGGTTCCAATAGCTACATATAGATATATAATAAAAATAATCATCATTGACAAGTTTAACAAGCAACAAACAGAAAAACATTAATATATTATTCAGATCAAACATAACTGCAATTAGAGATGGTGCTGTGGGATCTAATAGCTAGACCAGCCTTCTTCACCTGGTGATCATTCATCCCAAGCTACTGGCTAGAAATGGTGAACATTATAGCCCAACTTACCTGTAAGGTGCTTGGTTAGAAAGATGGTGTTAGAATGGGAAAGTTCAGGTTCCAGTCCTTACCCAGCCATGAAATTCACTAAATGAACCTGAGTTCAGTCACTCTCTTTGCATGCTACATTCTCATTTTATTGTAGGAAAAAAATAAAGGGTCGGGGGAGAAACACTTGCCAACCTGAGACCCTTGGAGGATAAAGGCAAGTGCATGTTATACCTCGTGTTTACACTGCACTGGTGAGCATCCTTCCCCACCTGGTGCCCTCTTGATTTGTTGGAGAACAACTATCCTCACAGTCAGAAAGCTTGATGGGCTTCCAATAAGTCTGACTTGGTTCCAACCATATGAGAACATGTCCTCTGCATGTCTGAGAGGAACACAGGTCATAGCGTGCATTAGACACTGCCTGTGTATCCTTCTGCAGCTTCAAGCAAATACATGTGTAGTGAGTTCTGCAGCAAACCCGCCCTTTCAAGCTATTCTTCAATCAACTGACTGCTCCCTCTTTTCACTGATGAACACTGATTGGCTTGCCACAAACACAAGGCTTCTGTGGAACGTGAATGTGGCAGACCAACGTAGAACAATAACTTGGGG